GTAGGACAGCCCTTACTACTTCAAAAGAATGGATGGCATTCTTTGATACAAGTTATCTGGCTGTTTTTTACCAATACAGTTTTCAATTTTCTTAGAACAGCTTACTAATAAGCCCCTATGATCGTTTTGTGTTATTTGAAAAATACCTACCAAGATTACCCTCTTGGGGTCCCAAAAAACAGTCACCATAACTTCCTGAGCTGATCTTTCTACCTTGAATTTAACTGGCACAACATATCCCTTCAGAAGCCACTAGACCTTTTCTGAAGACGCCCTTATGAGACTACAACAAGTAAATTACTGTAGCCATTCACTGATCACAGACATGTTTAAAAATGCTTTGTTTTTGCATGTATAATCTGGAGCCCTAATAGCAATACTTTTTGACTTACCCTCATGTTCTGTAATAATGAATTTCTTCCTTTATTTAATAGATATTATTTTACTCCATGTTCACTGCAAAGGATAAAAAACTAAATCAAGCATGGCTATTTCTAGACTTATTAAATATATTAACCTTGGACTCTCTTTATTTAAGCATTCCCTTGGCAACCCCCTTTGTCAGCTTGGCTAACCATGTTTCCTCCTGTAGATGTGCAAAAACAAAATTAACCTACCTCTCAGATAATCCAGAACAAATATTAAATAAGTAAAATATGTAGTAGTAAAATATTTCTTTAAAATGTTATTTAAATGCCTATCAGTGTCTTGTTAAGTGCCATCCAGTCAGTTCTGACTCTAGTGATCCTATATAGAGTTCCTGATGTTGTAAATCTTTGGGGGGCGGGGGGAAGCCTTATCTTTCTCCCATGGCCTGGCTGGTCTTGAATTGCCACACTTGTGGCTTGAAGTCCTGTGTTTATCCTACAGAATCAGTATCCAATGTCCTGTAATCTTTGTCCCTTTGTTGGCTGGGCAGAGATTCTCTAGCAATCAATAAGAGATTTTAGATGTTCTTTTTTTTTTTTTTTTTTTTTTTACTCTTGAGTTTTTGTCAACTCCAATTTAGAAAATCTGTTTGCAACCATTTTGTTAACAAGACTTTGAACCAGTTTGAAATGGTTCAGTCATGGCCAACACAGCAAAATTGAAATAGACCCAGTTTTTAAAATGTGGATATACTGAACAATACCCAGAATGAAAAAAAATATGGGTTGAAACCCTGGAAGGGAAGACTGGGAAGAAAGGTAGTAAGATGTTTTATGAAACTAATGTGGGAAATTAGATTATCGGGACTGTGGGGTACCACTCATATACAGAGCCATGATGGGTGGCCATCTTTGAACCTTGCACCATTGTTTCAGACTTTGCTTGTCTGAGATTTGCTATGCAGCACACATGCTGTCTTTGTTTTATAGGAGAGTGCTGTATTTGTTAAATGTCATCCAGTAGGTTCCAAGTCATAGCAACCCTGTAATGGTACCAAGGAGCGGCTTAGTGCTTACCTTGTGGTTCAGTGCTTATCCCACAGTGCCATACTTTGCTTAACAAAGATTTGGTTGCTATGCAGCACACATGCTGCCCCTGTTAGCTAGAGGTGTGGAGGGGCACATTAAGTTTCTAGCAGAGCAGCAAACTGTAATTTTTCCTGTTTCCTTTAGCGTTTTGGTACACACACATTTTACAAATATGAGTTTGTTTTAGTTTCACTTTGTTGAACATGATTGAGCTGGGAAAAACCAGTTTGAAGCACTCATTAACAAGAATACTTATATGTCTCGGTGTGCCACCTTTCGATTAATGTGTACAAATCTCTTACAGAAAGATAAACCATCATATAACAAAAACATTTTAGCTGTTGTTTATTTTCATTGTATATATGAGAAAAAGAGGGCAAACAGATTTGTAACTTGCCTAAAAGTCAGTTAAAGGACTTGGTTCTTTGAGACTGTTAAAGTTTGATTTCTAATTATTTAAAAAATGTTTTTATTTTGAATTATGTGATAGTTTACATGGGAGAACATTAGCTTTACATTTATCCTTTCATATTTTGTTTCATTGCAATGATTATAATCCCCTCTATGCATCATCAACCACCCAAAGGGTATATCCCAGAAAACTGCCCCCTACACTTCCCCCTACTCCCCCCAGTTTTTGGCCTACAGTCCCTTTCCCTCTCTGTGTCCAAAGTCCCCAGTCGCTTCATCACTCTGCATCATTATCTCTGCCTCCATCTCTGGGTAGAGTCCCACACTCTGCTCCTCTCCCTTGATGGTCCCCGGGACCTCTGCTCCTGGACTGCAAATCAACCACTCCCCTCCTTTTGTTACAAAATATCCACCTTTACATTTCCAACCCTCACAGTCAGTCCTGATAGCAATTATTCCCTATTGTACCTCAAAGAGTCTTATCCCCATCTCCTTTCATCAGTTCCATCTAGACAGATTGGAAACTGCTCAGTGGAGGTTCTACCTCCCCCACACCTTCAGGAACTAGGCTCCCTCTTGAAAGCTTGTAAGCCAGTCACTTCTTGCCTTTGTAGACCCCCTGCCTCCAATTTGGATTAGCCAATATCTAAGTTGACCATCCCTGTCAACTCTGTGGATAGGGGGTAGGAATGATCCTTGCAACAAAGATTCATTCCCTCTTTTGAGCAACTACATTCATAAGTATAGGTCAAGTTCATCAAGTTGTAGCAGATTACTCTTTTTTAAAAATTGTATCTTCTTTCTTCTTCCAGTCGATCTGATCATCCAGTCATTGAAGCCAAGTCAAGTGGGTACTGTCTGCAAGTATGGGTGTTCTTATGCATCTCCCCTTACTTCATATCAGCTTGATGCTTCACTCTCTGTTCTAGTCCTCTGTGGCCATGTCACTGTCTCTGTGCCCAGGAGTATCAAGGTCTTGCCATATTGCTGGCCAACCAGGTCTCAACCTGGGTTCACAGGAGTCTATTGAACGTGGCCAGACTTAGCTCACAACTTCATTGTTGTTCCCCCTTCATTGGTGTCCAACGTGGTCAGCAGCCAAATCACATGGCTGCCTGTATATTCCCCTTGGGTTCTTGGGTCTTAGTCTTGAAAGGGGGTTTGCCCTGAGGGGACCTGACCACTCTTGATGGCTCCAGGTGAACAACTTGCTTGTTCTTGTAGTAGTCAATCAGACTGCTCTTATTGTTTTTGATTTTTCTTGCCAGTCTTTCTTTCAAGAAATATCTTCTGTTCTTCTAGCCACTCAAGGCTAGTCTACTTGTCCTTTCAAGTGGAAATTTCCCAACTCAGAAGATTCTGGATGGTGTTCAGGATTCCATCTATGGTTCTATGCAATGCAAAGGCTCCACAGAAAGCTTCTTTTACTGGGCAAGTTTTAGCCCCATTTTAGGTATTCCGATCAGTTATAGGCTGAAGACAGACTTACAAGGTTTCTATGGTGATGTTTCTGGCTATTCCTTTCTCTCCTCCTCAATTGTCTATTTTACAATGGTAGTCAATGGTAACCAAGATTCAAAAGACAGCCAAGCATCTTAACATTATTTTCCCTCTTTTATCCATTCAAACCATGCCTCAATCTTGTATCCCAGTGCCCTGTTGTTCCAAGGTTGTGCATATATCATTATTTACCTTTGTCCCACTTAGCCCATACAAACCTGCCTAACTGTTGTCCCACCTGCCTTGTTCTTCCATTCCCCTCCCCCTTCTTGTGTATTGTGCCACTTCCCAGCACCCAAGCTATCCTGTGTCTATTCCCTACCCTGTGCTCTACCTTCCCTTTCCTCCCCTCAATCCACCCCATACATCCCAGTAACCAGCAAATAATTTTTTCCCCTGCTTTTAGTGTGGGTTCTTTTTAAAAATATTTTACAATAATGGTCTATGCAGTATTTCTCCTTTTGTGACTGACTAATTTCACTCAGCATAATGTCCTCAAGGTTCATCCATGTTATGCGGTGGTTGATTTCTACTTTTAACTTGATTAAAATGATAATATCATTTCCCTCATAAAGTGATAACTAAACACTGGTTGAGTAGCATAATTGGGTTTTTATTTATTAAGAAATTATGCAATATCCTTTGTTTATACAAATCATGTGAGTGCAGTAACTCCATACGATAAGCACTGGACTGCAAACCAATATGTCTGTATTCAAGCCCACCAACTACTCTGTGGGAGAAAGATGAGGCTTTCTGCTCACACAAACATTTCTGCTCCCTTGGAAACTGTATATAGGGTCTCTGTGAGTTGGAACTGACTCAACAGCACTTAACAACATACAAATAATAAATTTTAAAAAATCAAATAAAAAACTTATAGTTTGATTTACTTTACAGTGTTGTTGTTAAGTACTGTCAAGTCAGATCTGACTCAGCGAGCCTGTATAGTGTTTCTGAGGAGTGGCTGGTGAGTTTGAACTGGCCTTGCAGTTCAAACTGACCTTGTGGTCCAGTGATTATTCTACAGCGCCACACCAGGACTCTTAGCATACACTATCATAGTTAATAATTAAAAAAAAAAAAAAAATACTTGTTTGTTTAATGTCTAGGAGAGCAACCTGAAGATTATTGTTTTAATTTATAAGAGGCTTTACTTTTCTTCAATATTCTTTAAGCCTACATAATAATTAACCTGGTAGCATAGTGGATTATGAGCTGGGCTGCTAACCTCAAAATCAGCAGTTCAAATCTATCAGTTGCTCTGTGGGAGAAAGTTGAGGCTTTCTGTTCCTATAAAGATTCACAGCCTAGGAAACCGTAAACAGGGTCTCTATGAGTAGCAATCGACTTGAAGGCATATAACAACTAATCACTTTAAAAACAATCCAAGGGCTTTTGCTGTAGCTAAAAAGTAGGATAAGATAAACTTTCTCATATGTTAGGACAATTCCCTGAAGGAAATCACTGAAAAACACAAAAGGACATCTGTATAGAAATGCTTAGGTATTGTCTTTTCTGGAGACAATACATTTATTTCATTTTAAGTACTTTTCAATCCTTTGATTCTCACTGACCCGGCTAATTCCAATTATGTACTTTTACTAGAGTTTCCTTTTTGAAGATCTATTGTGTTTTGCTTTGAAATTGTGATATCAGTGTCTTTACTAATAGTAGAGATCAGGGAAACACAAAAGGTAGACAGGTTGAATATTGTATGAAAGAACAGAGAGAAATTAAAATCTTTAGCCTTTTAACTAGTTCTTAGTCTATGCTTTGTCTTTTCTAACTTTCTAAAGAGCTGGAAATTAGCTTTCTTGCAGTTTTAGTAAAGTTGTTGAATTTAGACTTGAAATAAGTGTCAGCCTAGTTTAGGGTATTTTCGTTATTTTAAACTCGAAATAACAAGCCATTGCCTTCTCTGATTTTTTTTTTTTTGTTTTTTTTTTTTAAACTTTGCATCTTCTAACCAAATGAATGTATAATATATATATGTTTATATATGCTGTCAAGTCAGTTCTGACTCACATCAACTCTGTAAGGGTGTCCAAGGAATGACTAGCCGGTTTGAACCGTCAACCTTGTGGTTAGCAGTCTAGTGCTTGTCCTATAGCAGCACACCAGGACTTTTTTTAAAAGAATATAAAAGCAATTTAAGTACATGTAGCTTTATGAATTTGACTGCAGTTATCACAAATAGACTCCCTTGTTTAAAAAAAGATGAGCCTAAAGATGTCATTTCTTAATAATGGAACAATCTAAGTTTCACTTTAATTAGCCAATATTCAATTTTCATATTAATAATTTGGAAATTTAGTTACAAGCACACACATTCCAGATATGAAAGATAGTGAAGAAAATAGGTCTATCTTTCATGAAGAATTATAATTTTGACAGACATGGACAGCATTTGGTGCTTTTACTCTCTGGGAGAAGAACTGTGTGGAAAGTAAGTATGAAATAAAGTTCTTAACTGCCCAGTATTTTATATATACATATTTATATATTTAAAGTGTAAGTCTGACTTTACCTACTTTGTTTCACATGTTGTTTCTGTAGCAAGGACTTGCTTTATCATTTAAAGTGTCCAGAGGAGAGACAAAATGGGAAGGAAAAGCAAATATTCCTTGGTGTTATTTCCCACCAAATGTCACAAAATTCAATTCATTTGCAATTCATGGATCAAAAGATAAAAGAAGTTATGAAGCTCTTTACCCTGTACCTCAACAGGAATTGCAACAAGGACAAAAACCTGATTTGTAAGTAGAAAATAAATGAAGATTTGATTCAGCACTAAGAGCTGTTTTTGAAATGAAATATTGGTATAGCCATAGTAATATTTTTCTGTCAAATATGGACATGTACACCTGATATGTATAGAGTACTGTGTTCACTCATGGCCCTAAGTAAATACTTGATAGATTGACTTCAGACTGACATCGTCTCTGTCACTACTCTCAGAAATGTTTCTGTATTTCCATAACAGTATGTGAAAGGTCTTGTTTAGTGAGTATTGCAACAGCTGACATAGAAGATTGTCAAAGATTCCTTGATCATTTCTTTCAGAGCTAAGTGACCATAGCCTTCACTGCTTCCTGATGTAAGCAAAGGGTTAATAAATCCATCTCTGTGATGCATGAGAATCTAGCTTTCACTTAAATCTGTAGCTCTTTGGTAACCTCATAAGAATGATAATGTTTCTAGAACATTACTTCTGACAAAAATGCCTTCTACTGATAACGTATCTAGGTCAAAAGGAATTTCCAGTCAACTATAAATACCTGATAGGGCAGCATAGCATTGGACTTCCTTTTCACAGTTATATCCCATGTGAGGACCTTGAAAGTAGTAACAACACTAGGTAACACTGATGGGGGGTGGAAAGGGATGGTGCCAAAATGACTGTCTATAAAAGTTTTTGCAACATCTCACTAGCAATTTATTAATGTTTATTAAAATATTCCTGTAGTTACTTGTAATAACAAAAACATTCTTTGTAAGCCCAGTTTACATATAGCACTATACCTATAAGGGTGAAACTTTATGCTAATTTACTTTTTTGAGCCTTCTAATGCATGGTTGATGTTTAACTATTTCAAGAGGTAGCATATGATCAACAGCCAATGATACTAAAGGAAGAAGTCAAAGGAGCAATGAAGGTTTTGGCAAAGAACATAGCTCCAGGAATTAATGGAATACAAATTGAAATCCTTCAACAAGCTGATGCAGCACTAAAGGCACTTACTCATCTATGCCAAGAAAGTTGGAAGACTTGGTCAACTCATAGAAAGAAATCTATATTTATTTCTATTCCAAAGAGAGGTGACCCGATGGAATGCAGGAATCAACAGACAATATCATTAATAGCATATGCAAGTAAAATTTTACTAAAGAGAATTCAAAACCAGCTTACATATTACACTGAAATTGAACTGCCAGAGGTTCAAGGAGGATTCAGATGAGGACTTGGAATGAGGGATATCATTGCTGATGGTGGGTCTTGGCTGAAAACAGAGAATATCAGAAATATGTTTATCTGTGCTTTATTTACTATGTAGAGGCTTTTGACTGTGTGGATCATGACAAACTATGGACAACATTGCAGAGAATGTGTTTTCCGAGACACTGAATTGTGCTCATGAGGAACTTGTACATAGACCCAGAGGCAGTTGTTCAAACAGAACAAGGGAGAACCAAATAGTTTAAAATCAGGAATGGTATGTGCCAGGCTTGTATTATTTCACCAGACAATCTCTATGCTGCACAAATAATCTGAGAAACTGCATTATCTGGAGAAGAAAGTGGCATCAAGATTGGAGGAAGACTCATTAACAACCTACTATATGCAGATGATATAACTTTGCTTGCTGAAAGTGAAGAGGACTTAAGATACTTACTAAAGATGATCAATGACCACAGCCTTCAGTATAGGTTGTACCCCCAAATAAAGAAAACAAAAATCCTCACAACTGGACCAATAAATACATGGAGAAAAGACTGAAGTTGTCAAAATTTCATTTTGCTAGGATCCATCATCAACACTTATGGAAGCCATAGCTAAGAAATCAAATGATAGATTACATTATGCAAATCTGTACAAGACAGCTACAAAATGATCAAGAGCAAAGATGTCAGTTTGAAGACTAAAGTGCACCTGACCAACACCATGATATTTTAAATAGTTTTATATGCATGTGAAAGTTGGACAATGAATAAAATGGCCATAGAATAATTGATGCCTTTGAGCTATGGTGTTGGAAGAGAATATTAAAAGTACCATGGACTGGCAAAATAACAAACCAGTCTGTGTGGAAATAAGTGCAACCAGATGCTCCTTAAATGCCAAGATGGCTAGACTTCATCTCTCATACTTTGGCCGTATTATCAGGAGGGACCAGTCCCTGAAGAAGGACATCATACTTGGTAAGGTGGAAGGTCAACGAAAAAGAGGGAGACTCCCAAAGAGATGGGTTGGCACAGTGGCAGCAGCAATGGGCTCAAGCGTGAACAATTGTGGGGATGGTGTGGGACTGGAGAGTGTTTCGCTCTGTTTTACATGGAGTTGCCATGGATTGGAACTGACTTGATGACATTTAACAACACAGCAATTAGACTCCTCACTCATACCTACTTGGAAACTTGAAAATATGATAATATTATTTGCCAGGTCAGCGTCAGGGCAGAGTGGTTTCTACTGCAACATATTAGGCAAATCTTTTTCTCCTCGTTAAGCCACAAGACAAAACGTAATAATAGTTAAATAGTTTTCCTGGAAAGAAAATAACTAGTAATAATACATAAATGTTTCCTTGCTTCGGTAAGAATGGAAAGTCTGTCCTCTGATCTATGGAGATGGAATTGTTTTAAACAATTGCTTATATGACTAATGTAAATCATTCAAACTTTAAATCTAAAAAAATGTAAGTATATATTGTGATTTGTTTACATGTGATTTGTTTATAGACTAAGACAGATTTTGATGGTTGATTTTTATTTCTCCGATTATTTATGAGAGAGTTATTCACAGAATGGAGAGTGCTTTGAGATATGGGGGAATGTTTTCAGAGCTGAATGTTTGATAGCCAGGGTGAGAAAATTGTACATATAAAATACATCTTACCTTTGGTATTTCCTAAAATAGAATATTGTCCTATATCACAGATATGACAAAATAAATAAACCATCAGGACAACTATTTCACAAATGCATAATTCATTTCAATCCCACTTTCTTTTTCTTTGCTTTTAGCCATCGTCTGGAATACTTCAAGCCTTTCAATTTTAACACACTGTTTGGAAAAGAATGGAAACAGCCGGAATCAGACCTGTGGCTAATAGAGAAACTTGATATATAGAAGTAGAGTAGAAAACCTTATCAATCATTTCTTCTCTATACTTCTTAAGGTAAATAAATAACAAATATCAATTTCTTTAAGGCATCATGAACACATTTCATATTTTCATAGATGTCACTGAAAACATAGTACCTACATGGAAATTATATATGAATTAACAAGAAAAGAAGACACTTATATGTGATTTTATCTATAAAGTTGAAATGTTAGTGACTCTTAGCCCAGGAACCGTCATTTCAGTGGGTTAAAACCCTACATTCTGGATTGCATCACTATCACCCCAAATATCCCCTAATTCTATCAGCTAGAGTCATTTCTCTTCCCACTTCCCTAACCTCAGACAGCCAAGCCTGAGACTGGAACATATTATTTGCACATTTTGAGCTCAATGCAATATACAATATTTACTAGGAATCTTTTATCCATTCTTGACTCCTGTTTTAGTTCAACATGAAATCCACATCTGCTAAGACATCATCAAGATGTGTGACTTATTTATCTGCAGTTTTTCTTTTTTTACTATGCTTGTAGAAGGAAATGGAGTAACGTAATCTTGAATTCAAATAGTAAACTCATTTACAAATAAGTGAAATTTGAGTAACGCTGTTCAACACGATGCCAAAATTTCTTCAATTTATTTTGGAAACATCAAACACTCAGGGGCTACAATTCTCAAAGTCAGTGTTATTATAATACTTCAGAGCTTAAAGTAACCTTGTAGATCATCTATTAACTTCCCCACTGAACCTGTCTTTCTGTAGCATTTTTAATTCAGAAATTGACAGTCTTCCACAAAATGAAGAGCTTTATTTCTTACAATAAAGGTATCACATTGTTTAACTAATACACTCTTCTTCTGTACTAACAGAACTTGTTAGTTTAGGGACTCTGTTGGGGCAATGGTTAAAATGCTTGAGTGCTAACCAAAAGATTGGTCTTTCGAATCTGGCAGTAGACTCACACGAGAAATGTGGTAGTCTGTTTCCATAAAGATAACAGCCTTGGAAACTCTATGGGGACAGTTATACTCCATTCTATAGGCCACTATGAGTTGGAATTGACTTGATAGCAATAGGTTTCAACTCGAAAACTATACTTCTGAACATTCTTTTCAGAAGAAATAGCCCTATAAAATATTTGAGTCATTGAAATGTAAGTAAATGGTATTAGGCAGATCTTTAGGAAAAGATGCTTTAAGGATGAGAAGACTAAGCTGCCATACACCTTTGGGTCTTCCCTTTCATTATTCCTAAACTTCAGAATGAACTTTTGAGTTAGCATACTATTTTTGCTGTGACAATGAGATGACAATGCAGGGAAAGCTGAGGAAGAAGATAGTGGAGCCTGAATTCCCAATAATATGATAGAGCTATAATGTCATCTTTGGATTGTTTACCTACAGGCATCTATATACATGAGAAAATAAACTAATTTGAACAGGTACTGGCCATTTTGGTTTGGACAATGATATAGTTTACTTTGCTGGGAACAATAAATAGAAGGGTAAATGTATCACATTCATAATCAAAAAGAGCATTTCAAGATCTATCTTAAAGACAGTGCTGTCTATGATAAGATAACATCCATATGCTTTCAAGGAAGACCAGTTAATACCATTATTATTTGAATTTATGCACTAGCCACTAAGGTCAGTGGTAATGAAATAAAAAAATTCTACCAAATTCTTCATTCTGAAACTACTCAACCGTGCAATTACGATGCATTGATAATTGCTGGTGTTTGGAATGTGAAAGTTGGAAAAAAGGAGGCAGAATGAGTACTAGGAAAATAAATCCTTGATGGTGGAAATGATGCTGAATATTGCATGATAGAATTATGACTTATTCATTATATGCTTATATGACTAATGTAAATCATTCAAACTTTAAATACAAAAAAATTGTAAGTATATATTGTGATTTGTTTACATGTGATTTGTTTATTGACTAAGACATATTTTGATGGTTGATTTTTGTTTCTCCAATTATTTATGAAAGAGTTATTCACAGAATAAAGAGTGCATTGAGATATAGGGGAATGTTTTCAGAGCTGAATGTTTGATAGCCAGGGTGAGAAAATGCCTTTTTAAAACAACACAAGAAGCAATTATATACCTGGACCTCACCAGATGGAATACACAGGAATCAAATTGACTGCATATGTGGGAAGAGAGGATATAGAAACAATAAAAAATCTAGGGGCTGACTATGGAACAGACTATCAATTGATCATATGCAAGTTCAGGCTGAAACTGAAGAACATTAAAACAAGTCCATGAGAACCAAAATATATCCTTAAATATATCCCACAGATTTGATCCATTGGACACTGTGACCAAACACCAGAAGAGTTGTGAAACGGCATGAAGAAAATCATACATTAAGAAAGTAAAAGGTAATTAAAAACACAGGAAAAAAATGAAAAGACCTAAGTGGATGTCAGAAGAGACCCTAGGACTTGCTTTTTGACATATAAAACTAGAATGACTAGGAAAAATGATGACATAAAAGAGCTGAACAAAAAATTTCAAAGGGAAGCTTGAGAAGACAAAGTAAAAAATTACAAGGAAACGTGCAAAGATCTGGACTTAGAAAACCAACAGGGAATGAATGAACTGAAGAAAAAATTCAAGTCTTGGGTTCCATTATTGAAGGATTTTATAGGGACAATATTGAATGATGTAGGAAGCATCAAAAGAAGATGGAAGGAGTACACAGAGTAACTGTACCAACAAGAATTTGTTGATGTTCAACCATTTCAAGAGGTAGCATATGATCAAAACAAATGATATTGAAGAAGTCCAAGCTGCACTGAAAGCAGTGGTGAAGAACAAGTTTCAAGGAACTGATGGACTACAAATTGATATGTTTCAACATATTGATGAAGCATTGGAGGCGCTTACTCATCAAGGAGCTCTGGTAGCGTAGTGGTTACAAATTGGGCTGCGAACCTTAAGGTCAGCAGTTCTAAACTACCAGCTGCTCCGTGGGAGAAAGATGAGGCTTTCTACTCCCGTAAAGATTTATACCCTTGGAAACCCTGTACAGGGTTGCTATGGGTCGGAACCGACTCAACGGCCCTTAACAACAACTCATCTATGCCAAGAAATTTGACAGATGGATACCTGACCAACTGATTGGAAGAGATCCATATTTGTGCAACTTCCAAAGAAAGATGACCCAATGATATGTGGAAATTATCGAACAATATCATTAATATCACTTGCAAGTAAAATTTTGCTGAGGATAATTTTTTAAATGGCTGTAGCAGTGCATGGACGGAGAAATGCCAACAATTAAAGCCAGATTCATAAGAAGATGTGGAATGAAGAATATAATTGGTCGTGTCAGATGGATCTTGGTTGAAAGCAGATAATACCAGAAAGATGATTAATTGAACTTTATTAATTGTGCAAAGACATTAGACTGTATGGATCATAACAAATGATGGATGACATTGTAAAAAAATGGGTATTCCAGAACACTTAATTGTGTTCATGAGGAAATTGTACAAAGACTAAGAGGCAGTCATTCCAACAGAACAAAAGGATACAGAATGATTTCAAATCAGGTAAGGTGTACTTCAGGGTTGTATTCATTCACTGTACTTTTTCAATCTGTATGTTGTTGTTAAGTGCCATTGGATAAGTTATGACTCATAGTGACCCTGTATAGGGTGTCTGAGTGGTGGCTGATGGGTTTCAACCACTGAATTTGTAGTTAGTAGTTCAGTACTTATCCTAAAGTGCCACATACTAAGCAAATAATCTGGATTATATCGAGCTGGATTATATGAAGATGAACATGATATCAGGATTGGAGACTCATTAACAATCTATGATATGCAGATGACACAACCTTCTTTGTTGCAAAGAAAGAGGACTTTAAGTATTTTATGATGAAAAATAAAGAATATAGACTTCAATATGGATTTCATCTCAATGTAAAGTAAATTAAAACCTTACAAATTAACCAATAAATAACATCATGATAAATGGAGGAAAAAAAATAAAGTTGTCAAGGACTTCATTTTATTTGGATCCACAGTCAATGCTCATGGAAACAGCAGTCAAGAATTCAAATGCATGATGCATTAGGCAAATAACTGTAAAAGACCTCTTTAAAGTATTAAAGTGCAAAGATATCACTTTGAGAACTAAGGTGCACCTGACCCAAGCCATGGTATTTTCAATTGCCTCATATGAATGTGAAAGTTGGATAATGAATAAGGAAGACCATAGAAGAATTGATGCATTTGAAGTATCATGATGGCAAAAAATATGGCAAGTCCCACAGACTGCCAGAAAAATGAACGAATCTGTCTTGGAAGAAGTGCAGACAGAATGCTTCTTAGAAGTTAGGATGGTGAGATTTCTTCTGATGTCCTTTGGACATGTTGTCAGGAGGAATAAGTCCTTGGAGAAGGACATCATGCTTGGTAAAGTGAAGGGTCAGCAAAAAAGAGAAAGACCTTCAAAGAGGTGGATAGACTGAGTGGTTGCAACAATAGGTTAAATGGCTAAAACATAACAACAATTGCAAGTACGGCACAGGTGTGTGCACTGATTTGTTCTGTTCTGCACTGACTCCCTGTGAGTCACCCAACAAGAAAAATTTGTATATGCCACTTTTTAATGAAAGTTTTTATTACAAGTAACCAAATGCAATTCATTACTAATGGATTTACTCTTTGCGTTGGATGGAAAATGTAAGATGTATTCTCACTAAAGTCAGAAAAAAGTCAAGAATGCCCACGCTCACCACCTGTTTTCAACATTGTAGGAACAGTTTTACTCAGTACAGTGAAGAAATAGAAAAAATAAGAGGCACAAAGGTTGCAAAGTGTTACACACCGCAGGTATTGGGGTGTTGAGGACCAGTGTCATGGACAAAAATTTCAGCATGTGGCCACGCTCCGACCTGCTGGCCAGAGACCCTGTGGGCTCAAGGAAGTAACCTCTGGACGTCCCCGGTTCATTGGCTTTTGCGAACTCATTGTGG